CTCTTGGTTGCTTGTGGGGGGAGGGGGCGATAAATGCAGACCAGGATTCCATGGTATTTTAGTACTTGCAATGACAAATGCATCTCATATTTTATCTGCTAGATTCACCTCGAACTCAGCATGAACGATGTTTCAGACCCTTGTACCTCTCATATGCAATCATAAAAATATCATACGTTGTTCGTTTGTTGGAGTACGTGAAATAACTTACAAACCAAACACCATGGAGCCTGGCCTGCATAAACCGTCCTCAAGAAACAAAGAGCGGTGTAGTACGCCGTAGAATCTGGTCTTGGAGAAGTAATTCATTAGTTTTCATCAACTGAGGATATGTAAACGAGTAGTACTTTGTGAGAAGGAAAGGTGAGACTGCATGCCATGACTGCTATATAGCATTGTACTGCTTTCCAAGAAGAAAGCACTTCGGGCTGAGAGCATGAAATAGAGATAAACTGTCACAACCTCTATCCCACGAAAGAAGGGCTTTTATATTGTTTCAGTGAAAATGCAAGAAAAACCGACAGCACAAGGACTAATATTTTCATTTGTTTCTGTTCAATTGAAAATATCCAATTCTGAACAAAGATTTGTGACTTTCGCTTGGCTTAGCAAAGTTTCAAAAAAAACAGAATGCAGGTAAGAAAAAACAATAAAAACTGAGGATAAACCTATGACAGCTTTAAACTGCAGTAACAATACAAACTTTGACATGATAATTTTTAATTAACTTAATATTTCATTTTTAATTTAATCAAATTTTCAACTACTTTTTGCATAATTTCTTTGCCTTAATTCCAGAATGAAAACTTGTTGTATCTCCTATGAGACTGCTACGGAAATCGAACCGCATTAAACGCGTTTAAAAGCTGCATTATTACGTGTATACCGTTTAACAGCGACTGATTCTTCTATTGATGACAGAACCAGATTAAACGATAGGCATAATGTATCATGATAGTTTGAAAAGATTTACAATAGCGTGAAACAAGTAGGCAGGTTATAAATGAAGTCATCAAAAATATAAACATGCAAAGGAAAGGAGGCGAAAAGACAAAACGGATCGGGTGAACAAGGGCATGTTTGAAAGACGAAAGAAACATTATAAGCTAATTTGCTCCCCGCAGAGTTGCACGAGCGCGCATTTGCTCATTGACAGCAAAAAAGAAAAAAAACAGCCGCGATGCATGACATTTGGAAAGATACTTCGAAAAATGTCGATAAGGGCATGCTTGAAAACTATCAGTACAGACTGAGGTATCAAACTTAGTTTCAAATGTTTCAGGACGTCAGTATTCGTAAATAAATCGCTTCCGTTCTGTCAAGCAGGAAAGCAAATACGGCTGGTGGGATGTTGGAATGCTGTATTTCGTGGATCGTGTACAACTGCTGCAAAAACTGAGGAACAGTCTTTAATGTTCAGTGAGCATACCAGTTTGATGACTGTAACAATAGATGCAAATTTATCTTAGTAAAAAAATTAGTAGACGGTCGCTAACGGGTCCGATATCGTGAACAAGGCAGGCGTTGACAAACGTCTGCCTGTACACTTCCGGCAATATGAAACCATGTAGGCTGAGAGGATTTGGCGGTGCCTTACTGTCTGCTTCATGCCATGGATTGGTGGCGATTTTCCGGCTGCTGCTAATTTCAGTCCCACAGAAACTAAGGCCATAATTTCATGGGTAGAGTCCTGACACATTATGGCGCGCTCCTAAATTCTTTGATAACTTCATTGCTTCAGCTTTGGCGGCACCAACAGCATGATCATGTCCCAAAGAGAAAATAACGCAACCACTCCC